ACCCGAACTCCGAGGCAATCAGTAATATCATGAGTGGTGATCCCTTCCCCCTCGGCCGAGTAGTTGGAGACAACATGGCAGCATCCTTGTACTTACTCCCTCCCACAGTCCAATCAAACACTTGAGGAACCCCTGTTAATTCGACCTCCTCCTCCACAGAAGTCTGGAACATAAACCCTACCGGCATGACCCTGGTTAGTTAGGCGAATGTAATGGGCCGCTTCTCTTGCTCCAAAGTTGGTCTAAGCCGACATATGATATAAGGAAATGTCGCACTCCGATCGCGAGAGAGGCTTCTTGAGCACTGGCTGTCGTTGCAAGGTCTCGAGATGCTGCCGCGATCGCTGGAAAAGGGTACGTCCTTCACGGGGCAGCAAACGACGGTGCTTGGGATTGGGGTAGCATTTATGGCATTTACCTCGGCCGTAATTGCCCTTCGCGTCTATGTCAGGACAATTTTGCTGCGCGCGTGGGGAGCTGATGACGGTGAGCCGAATACCGTACCCATGTCCTCCCATATTCGCTAACCGACATGCAGTCCTTATGGTAATCGGAACTGTAAGCATACAGCGACGGCCCAATGCTCCATCAGGTGTTGACCTTTCAATCAGATCTTAACATACGGTCTCTCCATCGCATCGATTGTGGGTAGGTCCAAGCACGTAAAGACTTAGGTAATTGAGTTATTGACCACGGCAGCCGCATATTATGGCGTTGGAAAACACTGTACGCCATTTACTAGTCCTCTTGAATTTACCTCCTTCTAATGTGAAATCAAGATTCAGATGTTCCTATCGAAGATCGGGTCCCTATGTTCAAGGCAAGTTATAGGGATACGCTACAGCCACACCAGCCAGGCTGCCTCCACATACTAGCCTTCGCTTATGCCACACCCTCCACCTACCCTACCTGCCACTTTATGTATGTCGCCGTCTGTGCGAGAATTTGTCGCCTAAGGCATCTACATGCGTCTCAGGCATTATATTGGTCAATCGGCTGCTAGATCGGGACCCCAGCAGGATCTGAAATGGATGGGAAGGTGAAGTGTTTCTATATCTACAGAAAACAAGCCTTGCCTTCTACATTAGGCAGAAGGTGTGGCATGAGCGAAGACTGGTATATGGAGGTAGCCTGGCCGGTGTGGTGGTAGCAGCTCACAAGTTATAACGCCAGGCCTAGGAAGAGTATGCCCTGCTGACTATAATCAGTGTATATGGGCTACACGCCTCCTCTACGTGCTGGGATTGTGTTTCATCAAGCTATCTCTCCTATGGTTCTATCTCCGGCTCGAAACACGACGTTTCATGCTATGGCTTGTGTACTCCGTTATCTTCATAGTTCTGGGAGTATCGATCTCAAGCTTCTTCGTTGATACAATCTCCTGCATACCACCTTCTAAATTTTGGAATTCGGCCAAGTCAGGACATTGCATGTCAACGGCGTCCCAGCAGAAGTTCTATGAAGTTAATGGCATCCTCGTCATTGTCATGGATATTCTCATCTGGGCTGTTCCCATTCCGATGCTATGGCGTGTTCGTATCTCTTTGGTAAGTACAAAGATACTCTTCCCTACTCTTTTGCTACCTACTGATCATCATCTTGCAGCGAAAGAAGATTGCAGTATTGGGAGTTTTTAGTGTAGGCCTTTTGTCTATAGCTGGTACGTTGTCTGTTCTGTCATTGATGTTTTTCTTTCCTCTCACTCTTTGGTCTCACTCCTTCCACTCGTTCTCTCTCTCTTTTCTCTTCGCTTTACTCTGCCACTTTCCCATCTCCTTTCCACTATCTTTTTTTATTCTTCTTTCTTTTCTTCTAGAACCATTTTCTGATTAACCAATGCAGCTGCTTGCGTGAGATACCACACAGTCTTGCAACTAGCCAACAATCCAGACGAAACATACGTGCTGGCTGCCTCACTTAATTGGTGTGGCATCGAAGCCTACGTCGGTACGTACCCTTTCCCGTCCCTAACGCCTCAGGCCTAGGACTGAATATTATACCTATAGCCATATTCTGCGGCTCCACTCCAGCATTATATGTTTTTGTGAAGCGCTACCTCCCACGAATGTTGGGCCCGTCCTACGCGCATAATCCAACCTATTCAGGACAGAGCAATGCGAAAAGATTCAGCGCGCCATTCCGCGCAGTCTCCCGCCAGCGTATGAGCGAAAGCCGGTTAGGTGAGAGCCAAGATGCATTACATGATGGCGATGGTATTATGCTTAAAACAGACATCCACTGGGAGGTCACTGATATAGATGCGGAAGCTCGACTGGACCCGCACCATGTAAATATTTGAAGATTTGATCACTATAATTAGAGCAGCAGATGAAATCCAAGTGAGGAACTTGCGACTGTTGTAGACGCGGCACGTTTGTTAGAAAATGTGACAATCGCAGGCTCAAAGTGGAAAGATTTCAGACCCACCGGACTAGTGAAATCCGTCACCGTCTCTTCATCGTCTGCATTGCTACGGTTCACTGCATATTCTTTCTTCATGTGCTTCTCTCCCCTCCTCTTGGCAGGGACTCCTCGAGTCGGTTAGAGCCGCCTGTCACTGCATCTCCGCCGTCTGTCCCACGGAACGTGGTTCCATCACCTTTCCCAATTACTATACCTTTTTCCGACCTCTAAACAATCACCTGCAATTACCAAATACACCTCTATCTAACCGCATACATCCGAAATGCTTCCGACTCTTCCGCCGAAAATAGAAAAATAGAAACCGAAGCCTGATATCATAATCAAAGCCAGCCCAAATTCCCCATTACCTGGCATCCCCGCCATCACCATGAATTCCTGTTAGTCAATCCACTCCCAGATCTCCCCCTCATCCCGAGCTATTAGCTTCGGTGGGTCATAGAAAGTATTCCGGTTTTTAACAACCCATCAGTCTTCTATTCCACCAAGCACGCCAAGACATCATACTACCACATCCCCTCCACCCTCAGCTTAGAAGACGTCCAACAAATCCTCCACAACCACTCTACCTTAGCACATATATTCTGGCCCCAATCAGTAAACGATCCAGAAAACCTTCTTTTCGAAAACCAAACCGGTCCTAGTACTACGGAAATCCAAATTCGCCCAGCATCAGGCTCCGGTCCCGGCCCTTCCGGGACAAAATGCAAAGCTAGCATAACTTCTCACCACGAGGCCAGAGAGGTCGTCGTCGCCGAGGAAATGCCTCTCGGGCTTCGGATGACGCTGGTTCATAGGGTTTCTGACGAGCCTCCGCAGGGTATCTCGGCAGAAGAGGGTGATGGCCTGCTTGCGTTGGCTGACTCGCAGCCTTCTACGTCGCTCTCGGGCACTGGGTCACGAATAGGGCTGTATCTGCAGGTGGAGAGATCAGTAATGGCACCGCGACCTCTTTCGATGCTGGTCAAGACGACAGACGGGCCGATTGTCAAAACGAAGAATCTGTTGTTCGTTTTGGATGAGTTAGGGAATGGGAAGGAGTTGGATGCTGCGTTGAATGCTCTGAATGAACTGGGAGAGTCGGATGATGAAGGGGATGAGGTGTTGGAGAAGTATAAGGCGGATTGAGACGAATACAGCCACATACTCTTAGAACTTGGGACTAGCCGCTAGTGTATAATCAGACCTTGATAGACTTAGATCATTGTTTTACTGCTGTGCCTGCTACAAACTCCTATTACTGGGCAGTGACCTTGAAGGGCGACTGAGCTAACTGTAAAATCTAATATTCCGATATATGCATCTGCACCAACCCCGTACCTCAGTTAGAGCCAGGGCTTTTCGCATCCAACGCAACCCGATCCCAGGCATTCCCGTTTCCCATCTCATGCAGAGTGAAGGAAGATAGTGATAGAGGTAGTGAAGGCAAATACTTGAATACCAACATGAACTGGCAAAACAGTATCATCAGGCAGGGGTGGGAATGAAGCCCTATCACCTCTGCCTGAAGATTCACCGTACTCGAAGAGGTATATAAATGCCCTCCTTTCCCCCCGAAGCTTCTTCTTCTCTTCTTCCAACACCTTGATTTTCCTGGCCTTGCTGCATCTATAACATAAACAACTAAGCATCTTGATGAGGTTGGGAATATGATCATACTAGAAATACTGAACATCTGTATGCTTCATTAGATTTATAGCTTCGAAAAAAAAATTACAATCTTATGATTATGGACAGGAGGTATGAGACCGACCATACGTCTCTCAATTCAACGTCTTCTATCGTACTGCATCTTTCCACTAGAGTTGGACACATTCCAAAGCCACAAGATATATCGAAATCTCCAAGCCTAGTTAAGGCACGAGTGCCGGTCACTGTGTCAATGTTGTTTACTAATGATACTATATATTGCGAACTAGAAGACTGGTAGAGTTTCATATCTGCTGCCCAAAATCTGGCAAAATGACCCCGATAAACTATCCCTTCAGAAACATAGGGGAGAACCAGTCCTACGAATAAGAAATTGGGTTCTTGCCATCCAGTTGTTTCTGGTGCAGCCACAGAGCTCTATTCGGCGACTAAGATATCGAAACCGAAATTGGCATTACAGACAGCTCTTTCAGACTCCGAGGAGCCCCGGGAAGTGAAATCATCTCTAATAGATAGCCCGTTTAGTACTCCTATAAATACTCCTAACAAGAACAAGCGTCCCGCTGCGTCAATTGAGTCCCCAGTCCCATCTAAAAGATTGAGAAGAGACGAGGCAGCGAGAAAGATTGTAAGACATCTAAAGAAGTTCCTAGTCCTATACTAACAGTTATAAAATGCAAGCAAAGAGATGTCTCGTGTGTAATCACACAGACACCGGGTGATTATTGTGACGTTGCGCATGTTTACCCGTTTTCTTTACGGGATATAACAGTCGAGTCAACAAAATTCTTCTGGAGCAATTCGAAACGAGAGGGTGGTTAATTCAATCAAAGTTGAGTTTGCCCATATTTTCCCCATTGTCTCTGGGTAAGAAAGCTGGACATTGCGAAAACCACTCATATTTGAAGATACTGGAGATATTTCAGGTCATGAAGAGCAATCAGTCCTATAACATTCAAGTGGTCAAGCGAAGTAAGAGAACATCTCGTGAATTGTGAACTTCCAGAGGACAATATCAGCCCACATGCAGAGCTGAGCAAGGAAGACAAGAATGTTGCTACAGTCAACTTTCTCAGTGAACTCTGGGACATTGTTGCACACGACAACCAGTGGAGAGACGAAGAACTGAAGAAGTCTGTATGTAATATCTTTCTAACTTAGATCAGAAGAGACATGCTAACAGTAATAGCTTATGCTATTTCCCACCGAGAATATCATAATGGTGAAAGGAGAAGACTGGCAAATCTACATCGCAATGTTACACTATCACCACTAGGCCATGGTGGTCCAACGTTGTTCCCATTTCACTGATCCCGGAATGCGCGGAAACATGCGCGCGTTCCATGATCCAGATGCAAACATAAGTTTAAATATTCACCAACAGCCGTGTACGCCAGATTGTTGGGGCCCCTCCCGGGACAGAGGACGAGCGGTTGCTCTGCAGTCGGGAGTTTGTCACCAAGCACATCAATATCATTTTATCGCTTGAGGAAAATACTGCAGCGACTTATGATCCGCCGAACGCAGGGCTCAGCGCTGCCGATTGGGTCCACTAATAAGATCGGAGCTGATTTCCCCCCCCGCCTTTATACTAATCCATGAGTAGTCACGTCTGTTGATTTCATGGTCTCTGTTTGCACATCTAAAGATTAAAGCAAGCCTATTATTTCGGTAGCAGACGGGATGGTGGGATCTCGGCCTTCTGTCTCTGGCTTCTACTATGCACGAAATATCAGATAGTGGGAAATATAACCCTTGAGTGATGTCACTGATAAGGCAACGCAAAGACACCCATTGTGGGATTTCACTGGCTCCGAGACTGACTATACATACGATCTCTACCGTTTCTGATACTAGCAGCAACTGATATATACTGCACATCAAGTTGAGCTACAAACTCAGAAGTGATGCGCCCCATTATCCCTTGTATCTCATCCTCCCGTCTTCAATCGCAATGTTACGGGTGAGGCAAGCTGGAGTTGCCGCTACAAGTCATCATTTCTAAGAAAGAGAACACCAGGAATGCCATCCACCGAAATACTGATGTCACAAGGAAAATGAAACTGATAATCCGGAAAATCGGTAAGTAGACCCAACACATGTGAAAGGTCCGCTATGAAGCTACAATGCCTTCAGAATCACCCAACACTTTAGAGAGAAGGATGGCATTGTATATCTGCTTCAGCGGTAGAAGATGCCGGTGATACTGCAGAGACCACGCAAGCAGGTCAAGCGAGCAGTGGATATCTCGAAAATTCTGGAAAACTGCGTTTTCGAGTCAAGCGCATATCAGATCGCAGAGAATCTCCAGTGGTCTTTTGACAGCAGTACGGATTCAAATGACCTGCTCATACAACCGACATTAGAGGATTACAAGAGGATCTTGGTGCATGAGAAGTGGCTGGATGCCCAAGAATATCAATTCGATAATCATGAGGAGGCCTGCGTGAACCTGGGTTTTGTTGATCAGGCGAACCCCCGAATGAAGGGCATGCAGAGCAGGCAAGAGCTAAAATTTTGGCAGCCGGTCTGTATAAATTGTGTGGCCGAAATGATTCTCTGCAGCCGTGAATTTCGAAGCAAGCATATTCTCGCTAAGGAGAATGATGTTACCCCATCTCCTATCGGCTGAGAAAGATACTCCAGCGATTGATGATGAACACTTTTGGGCGGATATCCCCTCCGCTGCCAAGCTGCCTTGATTGGGAAGAGGGGCTAATGATAAATAAGCTCATAACTCGATCTCGGCTATGGAAGTGACATAGTAAACTTACTATTACTATGTCATTATGGCCTACCGTCGGAACTTGCACGGCCACTAGGGGCTTTCGGCAGATACTGATGAGCCGATACCATTTCAACTTTACTACTTTGTCGCCTGGGTTAAGTTTCCGAAGGGCTGTATCACAATTAGGTAATGCATCGTGTTAAGTCTAATAAATGCTTATAGTCTGTCCCACAGATAACATGTTGCAGAGACTGAGTTTCCATCGCGAAAAGCAGAGTAATATTTTGAAAGGTCTTTCCGATCATGCCTTGGAATAAGTCTAAAGCAACAATGCGTTCAAAGTGGTTCTCCCAGGAAGAAATTGGTCCAGGATCAAAGATAAAGCTAAATAACGAATGGGTTGTCCAGGAGGCTATCAGCGAGCACGCCTTCCAACACGACCACGATGACCACCTCGCTAGGGTGGGGCCCTCTTGGACAGCGATACGCCTCCTTGTTGAGAAGAAAGGTTCGCGCACTAAGGCGTATATGCGCATCTATAAGCAGATAATGAACGGGGGCACGGAAGCCGAGTCGGCCAGGATGCGAGCTCGGCAAGCTAATACGTCGTGGCGCCCCGCTGAACTCCGAGTCTACCAATCACTGCCCCACAAACGCCCTCTGATTGTCCCCCGTCTACTTGAAGAAAAAGTCATCAAACAGGACGAGAGTGGTTCTGTCCCAGATGGCTTCCTTATTTACGTCGTGTATGAGATTGTGCCCGGGGTGCAGCTCGGGGACCACCGGGGAGCTGACGTCTTCTGGGCCTTGGATCGACCTGAGAGGGATCTTATCCGGGAGAGATTCAAAGAGGGGCGCATGAAGCTCTATCCGTGGGGCTTCGACCCGTATCCTGGGAAGGCTCGAAATCTTGTCTGGCACGCGCCCACGTCCACCTTGTAAGTCAACTGGAAAACCTCGTACTCCATTTACTATCTCACATGCTGACCAGTTTAACTATGGTTCAGGTACTTCGTTGGGTGGTTCTTGGCCTACGAAGGCATCGAGAACAAGAACTGGACGCCGAAGTTCTGGCAGGGGTGGGGCCTGGTCCGTCCTCCTAAGGGGTGCGATGGTAGGGGGACTCCGGATGAAACTTGGGTTTGGTAGCTTCTAGAAAGTCGCGTATCTGGCATGGTAGATTTGAAGAACCAAGTTTCTATGACCTTACCCTATTACCGGCGCAGTCCAAGAACAACACTTTCTACAATTTCACACTCGATGCCGGCCAGCATCGAAAGTATGCTCTGCTCAAACTCATCAAAACTATGGCAGCACGCAGAAAGGCCTACGAGGAGCTCCCAGTTAATGAGAAGGCTAATGTCAGCGATATACCCCCAGGGGTGAGAGGTACTATCAATCCTCAATATTCAAGAGCCTTGCCAGCGCAAGTCGCGTTTAGAACATGTCAAAGGAGGACAAATTTATATGGAACATTGGCTAGTTCGAGTCGAATAAAAGGACTTGAGACTACATGTCAGCCTATGTATTCAGTTACAGGACTGATCTGTTAGCTACTATCTAGAATTAACTCCTTGCGCAGTGTCTCAGATTTATAATATGAATGAACTAGAGGACATTAAGTCACTAATCTGATTTGACTGCCGGTATCATAATAATCAAACAGATATGGAATTATCGAGTCTACCAGCTAAATGAAAGTTCAACGGAGATGAGGTAGTATCAACACCTTTAATTTAATTATTAGTTAGATTTATCTGGTCAGATTTGGTAGTACAGCTACTTACTAGTTATGGCTTATTTTTTATATCCTAGGATAGTATGCTTTATATATACAGATCCTGTATCATGCTACCAAGCTGATAACAAACCTGACCCCCGGGGTACTCTGAGCCAATATGGCTTCACAAAAACCCTCGAGAGATCTCACCGTAAGTCAGTCAGCATGGCATGAGACTTCACCCCGGAAGTCAAAAACCTGAACAACGTCTGTCGTCACTGTCCAGGAGCCACTGTCGATATACACTTATAGCACGGGCTATGAGCAGGGTTGATGTGTGTGACGAGCATGGAGCCCATGGTTGGTTTCTTGTCAGTACAGCATACATGCGAGAAAGTTCCGGTAATTATGATCCAGGTTGCTGCTGCATCTCTCGTTGCGGCTGGGGAGCAAAGGCCTTCTGGGCCAAGCCATGATACTCTGGTCTTGGATTAGACTCATGCATGTCTCAAAAAGCAGTTCTTGTTGCTCCGTACTCTCTGTCCCGAACAACAAAAGCAAGACCTCATGGTCAATGCTCATTTTGGCTTCTTGTCCTGTTTCCCTTGATCACCCAGGCGCGAAATCTGCTACAATCAATAGCATCCCAGCGGCCCGACATGCTACATATCGGGTAGTCCCAGTGATTGACTGGGTCTTTCTCTTGAGCAGGTGCTAATGATACGGAATATACTACATATGTCAGGGAAGATAAGTGGCCTGATGAAGGTATTGTTAATGCAGCTTTTATCGAGCGTCTCGATGCACTGGCTTCTTTCTTCGGATGAAAGTTATATGTAACTACATACTCACGAAGATAGAGATCTTTGGAACTGGCTGAACAAAGAGCATTCTCTTTGCCAACCTTGGACGCACGGTCATCACTCTTCAACCACAGATTACAATATGAGGGTTATAAATATGGGATGCAGCGTTGTCCGTCGATTTCCAGTGGTGTATGGGTGTCCTGCCCAGAGACAAGCAATTGCAAATCGTAAATAGGCCCGTATGATGCAAAGGCTCTAATGGTTCCAAAAAGGGCAAATCGTAGCATCGGTGTCGGCTTCATCACTTGATAATAGCAACGAAGAAGAATACCAATTAATCTTAATCACTAATGTTGTCTATAGCATTCGTGGCGTGAACTCACTGAAGCATAAAATTAGCTATGTCAAGAATAACGCAAACCACTTTATCTAATCATGCCAACGTCAATACGATAAGATACCTTACAAAATATTATAGTGGTAAAGATTAGCGCATTATTGTAATTGTTCACTCGTCAGTAAATATGTCTATGTGCCAATATATGACCTCTGTGCGCATAATAAGCCAGTCATTACTACATCATCATCAAGTGTAGTAGCTTTAAATATCTGCTGTGTGACATCTCTCCAGCTTTTCCAAATTATTTCTGCTGATCTCTCATCACTACCACCATCCTCATCACAATCACCACTCATCACTCATCACTGATCACCCTCACCATCCAAGATGCGATTCTGGTCCTGGCTTCGGGGAGAGCCCAGATGCGAATACTACTACAAAAAACGTCTTGAGGAGATTAAAGATCGAATTGGCAATGGCACTCCAAAAGATCCAGTCAAGAAATGGATAACCGAGTACAATGATGAGGAAGCGCTGGGATTTGCCATTCTACAGCGCCAGCGTCGTCTAGAAAATGAGAAAAAGACGGCGGGGGCGCAACAACAGCAACAACAATTTCGGCGGCGACGGTGCATGCGGTGTCAGTATCAGGAGGAGATGTGCAGTGCTTGCCATGAAGCGACGCAGGCAGCAGATGTCCCACCGTCCTACTTGAGCCAATTCCCAGAAAGTCTCGAACGGGATCTGGCCAAGCTGCGCGAAGAGCTTTGCAAGAATCGGGCTCGCTTGGAGGCAATAAGCCAAAAGCTGTCGGATAGTAGGAGTTGGTGGGCCTTATATGCTATGCTTCCACGCTGGCGTCGAAACGACGCTGGCCGGACGTTTAAATGGGTTGAAGGCCGGATGAAGTGTGCTAATCGGGGAGGTTGCTGTGGCCGTACCTGTGGATGCTGCGAGGAGGTTCTGTTGGAATATCAACGGCCAAAGTGGAGGGACTCGGGAAAGGTACGCATCAAGGTGCATAGTCATTGCACGGCGGAGTGTGCTTGCTGTATTCAATTCTGGGGGTTCTATACTCCCCACCCTGCTCTCCCTGCTATATGTTCCTAGGTATTTGAGTGAATTCAATACAACTCACATACGTATGCCTGACCGAGCCTACCGTGTATATGCTAGCTATGCAGGTACTTCACCGTCTGGAGAACAAAATATGTATGGCCCAGAACGCCGTCGAGTTTCTCAAACTCGCTGTAGACACATGTAAACCACGAAGAGCGCACGCTACGACGTAGAAAGGTCGTCGCCATAGCTGATCACAACTAAACAGCACAGCAAAGTAAAGCGTAGTCATACAAAAGTAATTATAAAATAATGACGTATTCTAACATACCTTTTGTTGAGACATTCACTGCAGCCAGGCAGCTGTCAGCTGATCCTTCGCCTCTTCTTCCTGCGTGACCTCTTCCAACCACCAACCATCTTCTTGAGATCTAGATAGATCAAATCCATATATCTTTGCGCCTTTTGTCTTGACACCTTTCCCTTCTGTTGTGCGTGCCTTCCCTGCTGACTCTGTGTCGCTAGGTTGGCAGGTACTTGGGTAGTATCATAGGTGCTTTCCTTTTACAGACCGTACCTTCCTCAAATATCAATGAATTGCTCAACGGCAGCCAAAACATCTTCTTAAACTTCGAATCCCCTCTCTTTTCTTCTCTTCTCTCTTCTTCTTCTCGAAATCAGTCGCTCGTTTGACAACGCTCGTTTCATCTAGGATTAAAGTCACTCTTTGCGACATCACTTTTATCCACTCGTTCATTACCCCACACTCACCTTTATATACCCTTTTCTTTCTTTTTTTAGATAGTTATTATGGCTGAGGCGGTAGATGCCAACGCCGCACTTTTGTTTTGGCAGAAGCTGGACCCCAGCCACGCTTGGTGGCTGTTCCTCGTGATCTTCGTGATCGTGATTTGCAACGCCCTTTTAGGTGTGGTGAGGCTCTACAAGCTACTGATCAAACGCCACCACATCAGGAAGCTACGTGCAATGCCCCCATCACGGAGGCGTGACGTGGAAGTGGGTATGAATGAGGAAAAGCGGGTTCAGAAGAGAGTGAGGAGAGGAGAACGGAGAGGGCGGTGAGGACGGGGTGGGTGTTGTTGAGCTGGAAGTGAAGTTGGGAGCCGGAAGAAGAAGAGGAGGATAGGGGAGAGAAGAGGGGTTTCAGATGGGTTAAAGGGTGGGTGTGGCGGGCGGGTGGGAGGGTCCCTTCTTTTCGATCAATGCTGGCCGTTTCTCTAGGACTAACCGCATCGACCTGACGAGTTTGTCGAATCTCAGCGTATACGGCATGAAACTGTGAGGTGAAAGGGCCCCTTTGTTTCTGATACTATATACTAACCGTTGCTATAGGATATCGTTTCATCTCTTATATCGTGTTGACCAGTTAGATCTGGAGAAACTCAGTGAGGACGACATTAAACTGTGAGGCGAAAGGTCTCTATGTCTCTTATATATACTGATTTTTGCTATAGAATATTGTTTCATCCTTTCATATCGACTTGGCGAGTTAGCCGACGGTACTCGGCGTATATGGTATCAACCTGTGGGATGGAAGGGGCCCTTTGTTCTTGATATATATAAACCCTCGTTATAGGACATTGTCCGTCTTTTCGTGTCACCTTGACGAGTACGATACGACGAGTTTTGAAGACGTTCAAGGGGGCGTTGGATGGTAGAGAGGGGGAAGAGAGCGAGATGAATTAGTTCAGTGAGCTGAGTGAGTGGAGATATTTTCTAACTGCGTACTGACTTCGCCTTTCACCAGGAACCTCCGAAAGCGTGACTCAGTGTCATTGTCGTTGTGGGCTCAGGATGATGGCTTGAAGAGGAGGGCTCAGGGTTGGGCGGAAGAACGAAAGGT